ACGCATTAACTGATCAGTGGCGCAGTGGTAAGATGATGCGCGCATTGTGCTGTCTCTGGAGGCGGTACAAGGTTCGTAGGGTCGAGTCCTGGCCTGCCGCAGTTTGGTAAATGATATATATAGATATATCATTTACCATATCAACAAAATCGTATATTTTAGCAGTCATCGCTCTCTATATAACTAGCTATTTTTCCTTGATATATCTGAGCTAACGCTGTCCCCCTCCCCCCGTTTCCCCACCCTGTTAAAAAAAAAAAAACTAGATTTCCCAATCTGTTTCCTTTTATGACCCTGGCATCTCCCATCAACCCGGCTAACAAGGAGATTCCTGTAACAAGGTGATGTCGGTTTTCATGTTATTTCTTCTATCTTGTGTCGCTGTTATTTGAACAAATATGTTTTCTTTCTATTGTCATTGCAATAAAGATAATACTATGTTCATACTTATGTCAATGTAAATTAATTTTTTTTATTTTGGAGATTATTTCAAGCATTCTTTTTAAGTAGTATTTTTAAAGGACATTTCCTTAAAAAAGAGAGTAAAATTTAATTATACGAAGAATTAACAACATTTATCAATGAATTGTTCATGTTTAAATACACAGGACACATTCTCTGCATGCATATTATTTAATACACTGTACATACGCCTTAGGAAAAGAATAAAGTTCGATTTATATGAGCTCTTTGTATAACCGATTTCTTACTGGCTGTAAAATTCCTCCTTCGGTACCCACCTCGACCCTAAGCCCAGATAAAGACGTCAAGGAAAAAAACTATGGGAACAAAGATTTATGTAGGGCAGGCCACTGGTAAACCTATGTAGGTCATATCTTGTGTTAAGAAGCAAAAGATTACAACACTTTAAGAGATTAATGATTTCAAAAAGAAAATTCGTTCCACAGCCCGTTGAGAACCACAAAAGGAACATCAACTATTTAGATCTGATGGCATCCAAAAACATCCAGCTAGAGCTACGTACCTTCCAGTTCTGGAAAATGGAAGGTCTGGTACTGATGATAAAGAGAGTAAACAGTACGAGTGTTTCCTAGAAGCTTAGTGCCTACGTTGGAAAAAAAAACACATACCACGTCAGGCAATTTGCATTCGCCTAAATACATTTAGTTCGATGTAAGAAAGACTTCGAAAGTAGCGGCCAAAGTGTAGGGAGTTCTTATATCCTTCATTTCATCATTAGCATATATTTAAGTATGAGCCGCTCTAGTGGTGATACTCTCACCTTTCTGATGTCTAGTTCTAGTTTGATTCGTCAGCGTAGTCCCGGTCCGGGTCTTGTATATATGGATATCAGATGTCTGGCCATCATTGTTTAATTATTATGTTAGTGTATTTATCTACATTCTGGTTATTTGTTAAGCTTTAGTAGTGAACTTCACAAATCTCAGATGACATCAAGATGTCATTCTTCGGCTACTCTTTTTCACTTTCCGAATTAATTTCTATCCTCCTCTCAGCAAGGTAATATATTGTCGAGTACAATTTCGCAGCCGTAGAAAACTTGTATACTAATCAGCAATTTCCCTTTTCGACAAAATTTCCTTTTTTTCTCGATCTATTCTTATTAATTAACAATTCAGTTTTATGCTGTATGATTCCAACTTTTGCTATTTTATAATGCAGACTTGGCCATGAACTTCTAAGTACATCTTGAATTTTTCACAAAATTTTTTATTCATTTTACTAGAATCTTTTAAGTGTGTAGCTCCAGCAAATGAATATAATTTAATGTAATTAATAGTTTAATCACTAACTTTTAATTACAAAATCTTAGCCTGATCTACCATCTTTTATTTATATAGTAGTAATTTCTGTCACTAATTACTTTAACAAACCATCCAGTTTCTACAACTGCTCATATGATCCAAAAAGTTGGAAATTCTCGTAATATCGAGAAAATGTTTCACATTTGATTGTAACATTAAATTTTATTTCATTACCAACCTTTCTTTAATAATTTTTCTTTTAATTACTTTTGTGGCTGTGGTCTGTATATTGTGCAGCGCATATTGTGTGTGCTGGATCTAGGAAGCTTAAGAAGGAACAATTAAGAGAATGACAACCATTTTAACTTAATGAACACAATATGCAACACAGTATTACAGTTTTCATGCGTATTGTTTGGCTCATGACGATACTAGCCCACCTAATTAATCATGCGTGTTACTCCCAGATTCCCAATACATAGAAAAATAGTTCTTATTTGTGTTTCCTTATGCACCTGCCAGAAACTCAACAGTGAGCCGTTGTGTGTTATAGACCAACGACTGCAATATCAACAACATATGCACCCTCTCATTCTCCTCTCAACTTCAAGTGTCTGCCTAACACAGCCTAACCACCAGTTTGTGACCAGGCCACTGCTGCTACTGATCTTCCTAACAGGACATATGTAAACAGGTCAGTACTCTTGAGAAAATGATACAATTAACACACAGTAAGGCTTAGTCTATAGCTCACTACATAGATGACTATATCAGCACTATCAGTAATTGAAGATACAGAATGATGCATCCGCAGGGTCAGTACACAGCATGGAGGTGGCAGCACCGTCAGTAGATATCAGTGTGTCAGCAAATGGCAGGGAGGTGTCACCAGCATGAGCACAAGGCAGGGTGTCACCAGCATGAGCACAAGGCAGGGAGGTGTCACCAAGGGGATTAGCACAAGACAGGGAGGTGTCACCCGCATGAGCCACAGGGCAGGGTGTCCCAGCATGAGCACAAGGCAGGGAGGTGTCACCAGCATGAGCACAAGGCAGGGTGTCACCAGCATGAGCACAAGGCAGGGAGGTGTCACCAGCATTAGCACAAGTAGGGAGGTGTCACCAGCATGAGCACAAGGCAGGGTGTCACCAGCATGAGCACAAGGCAGGGAGGTGTCACCAGCATGAGCACAAGGCAGGGAGGTGTCACCAGCATGAGCACAAGGCAGGGAGGTGTCACCAGCATGAGCACAAGGCAGGGAGGTGTCAACCAAGGGATGGAGCCATGAGCAAGGCAGGGAGGTGTCACCAGCATGAGCACAAGGCAGGGAGGTGTCACCAGCATGAGCACAAGGCAGGGAGGTGTCACCAGCATGAGCACAAGGCAGGGAGGTGTCACCAGCATGTGCACAAGACAGGGAAGTGTCACCAGCATGTGCACAAAACAGGGAAGTGTCACCAGCATTAGCACAAGGCAGGGAGGTGTCACCAGCGTGAGCACAAGGCAGGGAGGTGTCACCAGCGTGAGCACAAGGCAGGAAAGTGTCACCAGCATGAGCACACAGAAGGGAGGTGTCACCAGCATGAGCACACAGAAGGGAGGTGTCACCAGCATGAGCACAAAGCAGGGAGGTGTCACCAGCATTAGCACAAGGGCAGGGAGGTCTCCCCGCTGGCAAGGCAGGGTGACTTTCCCGAGTCAAAGCATTGAAAGTTTACCAGCAAGCATGTCAAACAGATGTCACCAGCTTTCAACAGAACTTGGATGCGCATAAACAAAGGGGGGTACTTGCATAACAAAAGTGCCCCGATTTAATACAGGGCGAGAAGTGTGCTGGTGTGTGGGTGTTTGATAATTTTTGGGCTCCGTGCTGTATCTGCTTTTTGTTTTCGGTTAAATTTTCTTTAAAATGCATTTTAAGCTGTTGTTCCTTTGTGGTGTAATATTGTTGTAGCGGCGGTGGCTCGGAGTGAGCTCCTAATAGTAGTAAACGGCAGTACGCAGCAGAGGAGTATTAGTAGGTTTTTTTTGTTTTTTTGTTGCTGGTTTTGCTGATTATATTGTTGTTGATATACTTCTTGTTGCTGTTGAGCTCCTATTTATAGCTGTGTGGATCGAGTTACAGCTCCTAACCCCACTTCATTATTATAAATACTCATAACGTCTTGAACACTGTTTAAACCTAACTTAAATCTCCACCCACTCCTCATCCAGATCATTTCGCTTCCAAATCACATTGAAAATAAAGAATTTCTTGATGTCTCTACGGACTCTTTACTATCTTATCCTCCTGATTTTAATCTTGTTCAACGTTTCCGTCTTATCTGTCTCTCTCTACCTTATTTCTATGGTCTTTCTAAAACACATAAATCTGTTATCCCTCAACATTCCATCATTTCCTTCAGAGGTTCTGTGTCTTATTCTTTTTGCCTTTTAGCTAGTCAAAACTCATTCCTTTTCTTGGAGCTGTTTCTCCTGCTCACCACCATCACTCTCAAGACTTCATCGAATGTGTTTGGCCACATCCGACATGTAAGATACTAAGTCTTGACGACGAGTTCCACTTGATGTACTCAGTTTTCTTAGAGTGAAGACCAATAGAGCTGCTATATCTCACTGTATCTAATGTCTTTCTTGATCTTATTATTTTACGTGTGGACGCCAGCTCTTTTTGCTTGTTGCTGTTTTTTGTAACCTTGACATAGAATACTTCGAAACTGTTGTTCTTTCTACCACTGGGGTGCACCCTTCCCTCTGACTCCGCTATATATATGATATCTTCGCTCTTTAGCCATATGATTCTAGTCTCTTCCAATCATTTCTCGATGCAATTAAGTCTTGCTCCTTCCATCTAGTACAAAACTGAATAGGAATCCAGCTCTGCTTCCTTCCCTTGATGTATATGTACATCGCTTGGCTGCAAGTTTTTCTTTCTGTCTATAACAACCGTATGAACATTCACTACTTTTCTTACCATGCTCCCTCTGTCAAGAAAAGTGTTCCTATTTCTCTTTCTCCGTGCTTTCCGCGTCGGAAATTTCCACTCTTTGCAATTCGTTCTCTCGCCTTGGCTACGCTTCCGGTTTCATAAACGCCGCTCTTTCATATGCTAAATGGACTTTCTTCTCCCAGACTCTCTTCTCCTGTGAAATCCCCTGTTCTATACCTTTCCCATATTTCCATTCTCTCAAATCTTAACAAATCTGTCCATTCCTTAGACATCAAACTTACTTTTCGGCAAAATAACACCCTTCGCAGTAATCTAGTTCTTACCTCTTCTCCTGCTACTGATGCTTCTGGAGTCTACTCCATTTCCTGCTCCTTTTGTTCTCTCCAGTACTTTGGCGAAACTGGCCACTCTCTCTCTGAAAGAGTACAAAAGAAATGTTAGATTTGCCGACACTAATAATGTTCTTTTCTGTCATGTTAGAGATCACAATCATCCTATTAACTGGTGCTCTGGCAAAACTATTTACCCTTCTTATAGCCTCCACAGACACAATCTTGTTAAACCAACCCTTATACACAACTTTCCTAATATCAGTCTTAATCCTGGCTTTGTCACTGTTGATGCTTTCCTTTCTTATTACATTGTACAATGATAAAAACTTCAGAACACCCGTGACTTGACCTAACCTTTATTTCGTCTCCTTACCTCTTCTTCCCTATATTTTCTTTGTCTCTTTTCTGTCTAGGTGAGTTCTATGAGTTTCATCTCTATGTTCTGGTCCCACCCCCGTGGGTCATTGCCTCTCCTGCAGTGCTCTTTTCTTCTTCCTTTTTTCTCTATCATTAGACTGCATCTACTACTACTACTACTACTACTACTACTACTACCACCACCACTATCTCTACCACTACTACGACTACTTCTACCTCCTCTCGTTCTCCCAGCTCCGCTTCCTTTCCCTCTCATATATATACTGGCTCCCTTTCCTTCGTGCTTGTGTGACCAGTTAATTCTTCGAATAGGACCGAAACGTCGATATGAGTTTTTTCTTCTATGTACGGGTTATTTGGGCATAGTTTTGAATTTCAGCCTTTTCTATCTTTTGTAATGTGCGTGAGTTCCACGCTGGGGTTGCGTAATCTACGATTTGTATAGGGCCGTAAATGTCTCTCAGTTGAAGATCTAATATTGAAGCATGCCTCCGATTATGCTTACTCTTTAATCCTTCTAATATGGATGGTATTAAAGGTAAGTGATACCGAAAAAGTTGAAAAAATATACAAATTGCAAACACCAAGACATTTAATTGGAAACGTTTCAACCCTGGGACATACTGGTGGAAAATATGAGCTTAAACAGTCATGAATATCCCGGAGTAACAGTGAGAGTCTTCATAACGAGCCACCTGATGTATTTATGGTAGAGGGTAAGGCGATGTTTGTTCGATTATGGTTTATGTAGGTGTGGTGGCAGTATTGTAACTCCTTGTCTATTGTGTAATTGTCATGGCAACCATAGAGAAATTCAGACTCTAGCGTCTGTTGAGATCTCCCTCAATAATGAACATCTGTACATTGGCTCATCAGGCATGAATGCCTGATGAGGCACTGCTCCTGTTGCACTGCACTATTTATGTTGAGTACATTAAGGGACAGGGGACAGGAGTTATACAACACAGTGATACTTTTGTGGGATCGTGCCGCGACTGCAATACATATATAAAGTGCTTAACCTGTAGCGATAATAAAGTGTCTGGGAAAATTGGAATAATGAGCATGTATCATGAAAATAAAGAGTAGCCTCAAATCCTTGTGTCAAGAGTCCTTTATTCAGCATTAAAGTACCCGCTTTAAAAGATGTATTTCAACAGATTATTTGCTTTCATTGTAAGAACGATGACAGTATCGTCCCGTTTGTTTGCATTTTTCTCACTGGTAATTCACAAAATGTTCAGGGCCGTGTTGTAGTCGTCTTTGGAGTTCTTTTTCATTCTCAAAGTGTTGGCTGCGCTAACATTCACCAGCGTTATCGCCACTTTTAATTCAGTTTGCTCGGTTTCTACTCGGAAAAAAAAAACTGAGTTGTGAAAAGTGAGAGCGAGGCGTAACTGCTGGAGGTGACGGAGCATTAACACAAATATGTATTCTCAGTTATCTTGCTAATTGCTAAGGGATTACCTTGATGCTGATGAAGGACTCTTGTTTCATGGCATTAGTTTTATTCTCTGTCTTGGAATAAACGTGAGCACTTCATATTACCCACCCACTTTAACATGCGCATCTAATAACAATCATAATTCCCAACTGATCCCAAGGGAGTTTGTGACCTTTATGGGTTTAGTTAACATGACATAAAATCGTAGCTCGGTGTTGAGGGTGACTATCTCCCAGGAAGGACTTGAACCGTAGACTACGTCAAACAAAAACACTGAACTAATCTTGTTCCTTAAGGGGACAAGATAGGTGCAGGTGAAGAGCTCTTGCTCAAAGAAATTTTTCTTACTCCTTCCCTTGGTTGGAATGAACTTTAATGACACCCATTCTACTGGAACTGTTTGACCTCTACCGGTTTATCTCACTAACGATGTGTCTTCAAATTCATAATGAATTACGTTATATATTATGGTATGCCTTTTCACAAATTCACTTTCATTATACATTTAATAATCAACTTAATATTAGAAAGTTCCTAAAGAGCCTCAGCCTTTAACCCTGAGCTCTGGGTTTGGTTGATCTGCTCAAATGTTCGAGCAGTAATGCTCAATATATGTGGTGAATTTCCTGTATCTTAAAATATATGGGCAGATTGTTACGACTACACATCTATGCAATCAGGATTCAGCGTCTATTCAGCAATCATCCTCTTTCAACTGAGGTTTCCATAATTCTGACAACTACAACAGAAATTTGGTCTCATCATCTCTGAATCCCTGTACTCGACTAGATTTTGGCTTGAAGTGACCAGCTGTGCTCACAATGATGCATTTTATGTTTGAATATATGCTGTACATTTGCCACAGTAGATACGTTAGGTTTACTAATTCACACACAATTATATATATTTTAATTTGATGACATTGTTTAAATTGAATTTTTTTTTCAGAATCAATTGTGCTTAGTATTTTTCCCTAAATAGCGGCATCTGCTCACCAAAAGAGGGATCAACAAGTGCCTCCCTAATTTTTTCTTCCTCTAACTTCTTG